CTGGAACGCCTCGCCACAGGAACCCGCCTCCTGCTTGGGGTCACCATCCACAGTCCCAGCGGAGTGGCCGTGGGGGACAGGAGGCGGGGCCACCTCTCCCCTGGGGCCGGCCGGCCTGGCCCGGGCACATGCCGTTCTCTGCCCCCTCCTGTCCTCTCCTGAGCCTGCTCCCACTGCCCCGCGGGGCCAACTGCGGCTTCACCTGCAACCCCACCCCCGGCTCGGGTAAGGGCACACCGCCCTCCTCTGGCCACTGCCCCCACTGCCGCCCCCTCACACTGACTGTGGGCCAGGGCCCTGCTCCCGGCCCTAGACAGGGCACAGCCGGGCCAGCTTCCCGGGCCCGGCGCCAGCCCAGGCCTGCCCCGAGGCCGCGCTCCGTGAGGCCTGCGCGGTTTCCCAGACACCCCGGCTGCGCGGCGAGCGTGCACTGCGTCTGCCACACTTGGCTGAGCCCCGTCGGCCGTGCCCTCCTGTCCCGACCAGGCCCGAGCCAAGCTGGGGACCACCCCTGCGGTCCTCGGGCCAGCCGGGGACTCCCCCAGGCAGGCCCCCCCTCAGTTCTATTTTTAGACTAGAAGCATTTGCCAAGTGTTTATTTATATCACTGCCCGTCCTGGGTTTCTCTGGGCATCTCATCCAGCCGCGCCGGCCTCCCCTCGGCCGCTCAGCCCACCCCAGGCCGCGAGGGCTCCAGACGCCACAGAGCATGGCAGAGAGGGGCCCACAGCGCACCCGGACGGGTTGCCCTGGGGAAACTGAACCGCTCCAGCGGAAGGAAGATGCCAGAAACCCACCCAGCACGGCGGCAGCTTCGGGGTGACTGAGTTCAGCAGAGAGAAGTGAATTTCTCTAAATCTACCCGATGAGAGACCTCTGGGCACCACGGGTGGGGGCTGAGGAGCCACCAGGACAGTGGCTGACGGCCCCCAGGTGGCCCCAGGCCCTCCATCTCTGAGGCCCAGGGCAGACTCGCCCAGTGGAGAGGCCAGGCCACGCCAGGGTGGGCTTGACGAGACGCCGGAGAGACCCCCACGCGGCAAACGGTTGTTCACCCGGAGAAAGAGACGCATCGGGCGGGCCGGCTCCGGTCAAGGCCAGGCCACACACCAGCAACCGGTCCTCCGCGCCTCGCCACAGGGCCACGCACCTGTGCCCGGCGGCCTCTCCTTCCGTGAGAGGACCTGCGGGGGCCCGGATTCTGCGTCCCTGGTCCAGAGAGTGGGTACGCCCTCGGGAAAACCTTCAGTACCTCAGCCGGTTAATCAGCTCTTTTCTAAATCAAGGTGATGTTGGTTTATACCCTTATAGAAACTACCTCCTCTGTATCCTGGAAAGGTGGCAGCAGAGACCTGCAGAGAGCCAGAGCATCTCCCCCAGGCAGGGCAGGCCCCTGGGCACCCACGCACTGTCCCCGCACAGCCTGACTCCCTGGGTCCACACGGCCACACAGCAGGTCCTTGGCCCACCCCCCAAGCCGCCACTCACCCTGAGCTCCAGCCTTGCCCCGCCCCCCCCGCCCCGCCACCGCACTCCAGGTCCAAACAACCCCCTTCACCGAACTCAATAGGCCACAGGGTGGAGAAGAGAACAGGGGCGCTAGCCTTTCCTGCCGGGGTTTCTAATCTTCCGCACCGAACCTACCTTCTGTGAAGCACTACCAACGCTGTGCAAGACATAGACTCCGCCCCACACTTTTCCGTAACCTGGTTTGACCCCGGGTCCCCGGGGGCACTCCCTCCCCCCTTGCTGTGCTCCCGCTGCTCTGGCCTTGGGCCTCTCCTGCCTCGTGAACGCTGGGGGTCAGGGAAGAGCCCAGCGGGAGGGGAGGGCTCCCCTGGGAGGGGGTGGCCGGGGCTCTTGAGAACAGGAGGACGCTGAGAAAGCACCGTCTGTGCTGTGATTTTATCCTCAGGAAATGAATGAAAACAACAGACCCCTCGCTGGTATAATAACGCAGGCTGGAGGCTGTGGCATTTCGTGGACTTGGCAATGGCTTTATTTTTTCCTCTCTGGTCTCTCCCTCACTGCCAGGGAGGCGGTGAAGGTCAGGGAGGAGTGTCCGCCTTGTTCCCACGCCTGCCGGCATGGAGCTGCGCCCCGCCACTCTGCGCCAGCTCGGTGGCTGTCTCACAGCACAGAAACAGGTGCCTCCTCGGCGAGAGGTTTTAAGGAGAAACGTGGTTTTACAGTTTGGTAGCCCAGCAAGCAGTGCGCCCAAGGGACCCCATCTGCTCCCAGTGCCTGCCTTGACCCCTTCCTCCTTGCCCCAGAGGCCACCCTACACTGCTCCACACAGACTGGACCTTTGTCCCCACACCCAACAAGCCCCAGCCTCAACACCAGCCCCCTCGACACCAGCCCCACCTCTGAGCTGGAGGCCTGCAGGGTCCCCTGCCACCTGCCCAGGTCCCTCCCCTGGATCCCTGCAGGGGTTGCCCAAAGGGGACCTCCCTCCAAGGAGCTTCCCCAAGTGCAGCTATCGAGTGTCTTCCGTGTCCCAGGCTGCTGGGCCCCTTCCCAAGGGCCCCCAGGGAGCCAGGACTGTCCCACAGCGGGGCAGAGGTGCAGCGGCCACCAGAACCAGAAGGTGCCTTCACACCAGAAGACCACGCAGGCAACTCCATCAAGTACAGCAGGACTGACTGCAGGGCAGCCGACGCCTGGGAAGACAGGGGTGGGGCGCAGCAGCCCGCTCTGCAGCTGCCCGGGGGGCTTCTCCGCTGCCAGACCCCGCACAGCACAGTCCACTGTGCGGCTGGGCCCTGGGGACGCACCAGGCAGAGGGACCAGGAATGCGGTAGTGCCAGGGGCCGCGCACCTCCTCCCGGTCTTGTGACAGATGCCTGCCTGTAACTGACACTATCGCCAGCTCGATGTTTATCCAGGCTGTCATGCTGGTTTTGTCCAGCTGGTTTGGACAAAACTATTCATGGCCGCGTTGTAAGGAACACAGATAGTCAATCATCGACCAGAAGGCCTTGAGGAGCTCACTGAGGACAGTGAGGAAGGTCAGAGGTCACAGCATGGAACTTCAGTCTGGGATGTGGAGATGGAGCTGGTTTGTCCGCACCCCCACCTGTCTGGACGAGGGCTCACACAGACTGCTCCAAGCAGGACATTAAAGGCATGTGTATTGTTCCACTCTTTCATAACGTGAGTCATTGCACCGTTCAGGTACTAGGCTTCCTCTCAAACCTCCAAAACAGGGATGCATGCCGCAGGCTATTGCACTTGACCTCCTGGGGCCTGGGCAAGCCAGGGACACCCCTTCCCAGAGGTGAGTCACCTGGATAGAGGCTGTCTAGTTCAGTGGTCATGGTCCGGAGGCCTCCTGCCGCCTGAGCATCCCCACGTCAACTCCCGCCGTTTGGAGTCTAAGCTTCTTCTGGGGCCTGAGTACTACCCCTTTTCTGACTCACTGGCCACTTTCCTACCCTCTTCCTGCTGCCCACCCCCAGCCTCCTTGAGGCCTGGCACTGGGTCAGAGAGGCTGGTGGTATTCAAACCCAGGCCTCCAGACCCCTAATTCAGGGCCCACCAGCCATCACGAGCACTGGACTAGGAGTCAGCTGACCTGGGTTTGGGTCTCCATGACTGTGCTGTTTCGCGTCTAAGAAGAAACGAAAACCACACTGGGGGTTGGCTTCCCGGTGGCCTCTGTATCACACCATGTTTGTTGACTGCTTACGTGTGCCTGGCGTATATCTTCTAGCACCAAATATAGATCATCTTGAAGACCTGCCTATGAGGTATATGGGTAGTAATCTCCACCCTGATATCAGAACCCGTAGAACGAGAATTAGAAGAGCTCTGGGCTCCGCAACCCGGAACTCTGCAGTGTGGTCCTGACCGCAGGCGGCTGAAGAAGGAAGTTGGCCCCTGGTTTGCCTGTTATCTGACTTTCACTGCGAAGGAGAAAGGTGCCAGCCAAGCTCAGCCCCAACCGGACAGTCCGGACTTCGTGGGGCGCTGGGGAAGGGGGTTGGGTAGGGAAAGTCGCTGTGCAGGACCGTGCCCAGGAAGCAGGCAGCGGGCCCAGTCTCGAGGACTCTCGGGGTGCGGGTGGTGGCTGCGGATTTGGTGCCTAGTGACGCCCTCCTCCCACCGCCCAGCTACCAGCGGTGTCCTGAGCCGAGCACACTCCCTGGCCGCACCGTATCCCGCTGCCGCCGAGAGACGCGCTGCGATCTAGCCTGTTCCGCCCCGCAGCTCTGGGCCCCCGTCCAGGAACCTGCCCCTCTGCCCAGGCTTCCGCGGCTCCCGCAATCCGCGGGCCGGTGCGGGACTCCGAGGACCGGGCCGCGCCCCTCACCCCAGGCCCCCTTCCCTTTCCAGTTTCGCTCCCCGCCGCCCGAAACGCTGGAGCGCTCAGTCCCTGAGACCCCTCGTGTTGGGTCGGGCGGCCAGGAACCCCAGGCCACCGCCCAGCGGGCGCGCAGGCGAGAGAGCGAAGGCTCCCCGAGGGTGAGAGTCGCCGCCGGAAGAAAATCGCAACTAGCTCTGTCCGAGCCTGCAGGCCCGGAGGGTCCTCGCTCTCCGCGCCCGTTTTCGCGGCGGTGTCCCATTACACAGGGGAGGACGCTGATGCTCGGCGGCGGAGTGGGGGCCAGAACCCAGGTCGCGGCTCCTGGGCCGCGTCTGGAGCAAGCGCATTCCGCGCCCCGCCCAGCGGACACACTAGAGGTTTCGGGCCTCACAGGCTGCGGCTCCCGGGCCGAGCCCCAAAGTCCCGCTCCCGCGCACACCCCAAGTCTCCCCTACCACAAGTCGGGCGCGGGCGGGCGCACGAAGCACACTCTTTGTCTGCAGCGCCCCTGTACCTCCCCCGCCCGTCTTCTCGCTACGTCCCCCCGCGCCCCGCCCTTCCCGGCACGGCCAGCCAATGAGACGCGGTGGCGGCGCGCAGGCCCCGGGGCGTTGTCCGCGCCTCCTCCGCCCATTGGCTGCGCTCCGCGCCCCGCCCCGGGGCCGCCAGCAGCCCCAAGGATCCAGGCGCACGGCCCGAAGTGAGGGACCACTGGCTGCCGGAGGGCTGCTTCGAGGGGTCAGGAGCCGGCCGGGGAGGAACCTGCGCCCGGTGAGGAGTCGTTCGCTGAGCCGCCCCCCCCCACACACGCCCCGGGTCTGCCCCGGACTCCGCGCCAGGAGGCGGCGGCCAGACCGAGCCCCAGCCCAGCGAGCCGGGTGGCTCCCGACGGCGAGCAGCCCCGCAAAGGGCCAGAGAAGGAGAAGGACGTGGAGGAAGGACGGCCAGCCCTGCAATGGCGCTCGACTTCCTGGCTGGATGCGCGGGGGGTAAGGAGGCGGCGGAATGCGCGCGGGGCTGGGGATGCGGGGCTCCAGATCTCGGGCGCCGGAGCCTGGCGTCCGGGATGCGAGGCTGGCTCACCAGCCAGCTGCCCGGTTCAGCGGCTCGCCCTCTCCCTGGGATTTCGTCGTGTCCCAGGGATCTCGTGGGCGTGAACAGACTCCAGGCCCGAGGGCGCCTAGCGCACTGTCCACGAGGCAAGTGTTTTTTTTGGCCCTTCGAGGCACATTGGGAACAGAGGTCTGGGGCCCGCGAGCGGCAACGTGATTTGCCGGAGGCAGGGGACAGTCAGGGGGGTGCCCCGCCGCCCCCTACGCCCTCCTCGCCGGAGGACCCGGGTGCCTCTCCCTCTCCCCTTCCCCCCATCCCCCCATTCCCATCCTACCCGGAGCAGCGTCCCCACCCTGAGCCCTTGAAGTCCGAGGCTGGCTCCACGCCCCTCAGCCGTCCAGGCGGAGCTGGAGCCGCGGGACTGCCTGCTATCGGGCTAGCCTGGTGCGGCGGGGGGTGGGGGTGGGGGGCGCGGCACCGTAAGGCGTCGCTGGACCCGTCACTCTTTGGCGTGCCACCCGCTTCTTACGCCTATTAGTGAGCTGCTGGGGGTCGACTCTACGCGAGTGTGCGAGAGGGCCCGACACGCCCCTCGGGCTCACGGGGACGTGTCCACGGGCCGGGACACCTTCGCGGAAGCCGATCCAAGTCTGTGTCCCCGGAGTCAGTGCGCAACCCTGGCTCTGCTGTGGACCCACCATGGGCTGGTTGGGGCACCTGCCCGTTTGGCCTTTAGTTTCTCAGCTTTTACTTGGAGAGTTAATTTATGCAACAGGTATTCATGGGGAGCCAGGTTTCAAGACCAGGAATTTGGCGATGAGTTGACAGCCGTGCCAGGCCCTGCCTTCTGGGCAGGGAGGCGGCTGGTTGGGTGTCCTGGCCTGTCCAGCTCTGACCTCCAGAGCTTTTCTCCTCCAGCACCCGCCGGCGGTGGCCGCCCTGGCCGGAGAGCAGGGCCCACTCTCTGGGGCCTTAAGCTCTGGGAGAAAAGAGGGTGGTGAAGGGAGTGTGTGCTGGCGTCTGATGTGTGGGAAGGGATTCAAAACCTTATCAGACTGTTCCCCAGTCCGGCCTCAGGAAGCATAGGACTGGAGCCTGAAAAGGGAGTCAAACCCCCCGAGTTTTTGGCAAATGGGCAGAGAATTTCCCCCAAGCCTGGGCACCAGAGGAGCCTGGAAGCAGGGCCGGGGCCAGAGCATCCAGCTGGCAGCTGGCTCCCACGCTGCTCACCTCTCCTTTCCCTTGGTGCCAGCCACCTCTGCTGGCTCCTCCTGGGCCCCAGCTCTCCTCTCCCCACCCACGATGCGGGGGTGCTCCAGAGGGCAGGGGCTGTCCAGGGGCCAGCGTCCCTTCCCAGCTTCTTGGGGAAGTGGATTCTCTCCCCAGAGGCAAGGATTCCTTCTGTTTTCCTGCAGGCGTCCCGGGAGCTTGGGGTTTAGGGTGTGGCCCCTCCCCTATATAATGGGCCACATCCTGGGGCCCGGCCTGCTTAGGGACCGGCCCCCCCAGACACACAGGTGCAGTCGCTCTGGGCTGTCGCTCGGGCAGGGCCCCCTCTTGGACAGCCTTTCCGCCCATCCTCACTAGGCGACCCTGGGACAGGTCCCACCCAAGCCCCAGAGTCCGGCGCCCTCCGGAGCCGTGGGGGCTTCCCCAGCCTCGCCTCTGTCCTGCTGGGGTTCACACGCAAGCACAGGGTGGGTGGTGCCCAACTTCCCAGCTGCGTGAGCTGAGGCCCGGGCCTCCCAGGCGAATGAGGATGGAAGTGGCTACCTACCAGAAAGGGGGCAGAGGGTCAGAAGTCCCCGGGACCCTCTCCCAGCCTTATCTGACCCGGGAGAAACCTGGGCCCTGGGAAATGGGGGGACTGGCACAACATCATGCTGCGTGCTCCTCCGACAGAGCGGGGCAGGGCTGTCCTCTCCCCTGTAGCCCAAGGCACAGGGACCTGACTGTGTCCCGGGCCCCCCTTCAGCCCCCTGCGAGGGGCCTAGCCCCCACAGGGAGGCTGTCCAGGAACCATGTGCAAATGACGCCCCCACCTTGGGGCCTGGCCCCGGAACCCCGTGTGGCCTCCATGTTGGGAGGGTTTGGGCTCCTCGGTGCCGGGAGGCTCCGGGCAGATCGCGGCAGTGCTTCTCCTCGGGGGCCTGGGGGCCCTCCAGATTCACTTTCCGAGTGGGGGGAGGGCAGCACATCACCCCAATTGTGTGAGAGTGGGTCAGCTGTGCAGCTCGCCCGCAGAGAGGCAGGGCAGGACCTTGCCAGCCGGCGGTCTGGAGGCCTCCCTGGGGGCGTGGGCAGGAGGAGGTGCAGAGAGAAGTTCAGTGTGGGCAGGGGGGCCCCTGGTACCCCTCACGGCACCTCTGCGGCCAGGTGCCTCCAGGACGGTGGTCCCCGTCCTGCCCTGGAAGGTCGTGGGATGGCAGGTGCCCCAGAGCATCAGCTGGTGCAGGGCAGTGGGCACTGGCTTTGGAGTTGGGGGACGGGGTCCGTGCCAGCCGCTGCAGCTGTGGCCTCAGGATCCTCTCGGGGCGATGGCGTGGAGGGGCCTCCTGGCTCTCAGGTGACCCTGAGGGTAAAAGAAGGCGGCTTTTGGGGCCTGGAGGCTGGGGAGGCAGGCCCCACGGCCCACTCCGGTCCACTCCATGCCTGCAGATGGGAAGATGCAAGTTCCTGCCCTAGAGTCTTTGCCGGGGGCCTCCCGACCCAGGCTGCTGGGTGAGGGTCTGCCCCCCACCAACCCAGGGGCTGGACAAGTCTGGAGCCGGAGGCAGGACCCTCCAGCACAAGAGGGAACCCCCATCAAGTCCAGCGTGTGCTTCCCTGGGTCCCCACAGCTGGGGGCCTGGCTGCAAGGGGCTTGGTGGGCTGGGGGGGTGCCCCGGATGGGGAGTGGGAAGGCTGATCGGTGCACCTTGGGCAAGGGCGAGGGTTCCAGAGCCCCCACATCCAATGGTAGCCCCAAAAGGGAGGTTCTAGAACTAGGGTTCTCCGATTCAAAACGTGAAGTGAACACGAAGGTAGAGCTCGAACTCCGGGAACGACGTGTATCTCGGGACCAGAAACACCGATGTGGCGTCTGGAGGGAGGGGCGGGCCTCCCGTGCACCGCGGGTGTGGGGCTTCCAGAAGGGGGGGTGGCCTGGGGTGGGGGGTGGCCCCGACAACTGAGTAACAGTGGAAACTTTCCCTGAGCAGGAGAAGGGGAGGCCACGGAACGCCAGGGCTAGTGCAGTGCCAGGCAGGAAGGAGCACCCGGGGCTCCTCCTGTGACATTCCTGAGATCTCCGAGGCTTCCTGTCCGAACAAATCACTTATTGACCCAGGAGAAGCACACCCACCGAGGGCGGACTTCCCATCTGCAGCCCCGGAGGTGGGAAGGCGCCTGGGAGGCCGCGGCCCCACCCAGCCCGGCCCGGCCCAGAACACCTCAGACGCAGAACTGTCCTCTGCCGGCTTTGATGGGACGGCCCGTGCAGCAGACCCGAGTTCCGAGGGCGTTTCCCCAGGTGTCATGGGGTTTGAATCCCGGCTCCCCCATTTCCAGCTGTGTGGCATGGACACGTTACTTTGCTGTGCCCCAGATTCTTCATCCACCCGATGGGCTACAGGCCCTTTCTGGACAGGTGTCGACCTGGGGAGGCGGCACAGGCAGGAAACGGAGCGCGGGGGCAGCAGACGGAAAGGCCACGTGGTCGCTGTTCTCATTACCCATGAGCACTCGCGGCAGTAGGCGGACTCGGGATGTACACCCGTACATCTCTAGGGAGGAGGGCGTGGCAGTCACTCCACCTCTCTGAGCCTCAGTTTCTCCTCCCTGGAGTGGGGTAGCAGGGCTGCCCGGTCGCGGGGATGCCTGCGAGGAGGCGCCCAGCACGCGGACGTTGAGAAGTGTTTGTGAGCCACTGTCGTCCTTCAGGGGGCTGCACTGCGGCGAGGCCTGGCGGGACACACAGCCAAGCATGACTACAGGGTCACGAGCGGCCCCGGGCACCAGGCAGCTCCTCCGTGGGGCGGGGGGAGCGGTCGCCCGGCACCTGCCACGAACCTGGTCCTGGACGGGTGTTTCCCGGGGATCTGCTGGGGCGGGGAGTTGATGCTCACACCGGGGCCGGCCAGGTGAGGCTCAGACGCCGAGTCCTCTGGGAGCCTGGGCAGCTGGTAAGTGACAGAGAGAAAATGCAGTTCTGGGTGAGGGTCTGGCCCTGAGTCCAAAATTTCCGGAGTGTCCTGCCCGGGCCGGGAGGCGTCGGGAGCAACGGGCCCACCTTGGCAACAGCTCGCCGTTGTCAGCTGCGTGAGCAACAGCGTGAGAGAGAGACAGCAACTTCCAGTCGCACAGATCCTGGTGTGACCCTGGGGACGCCACCCTCACGTGCTCCACACCCCCCACCCCCGCTCTAAGGACCAAGGGGCTCCCGGGGGCGGAGCCAGGCTCACCGCCAGGAACCGGCTCCGGCTCAGCCTGGCAGCCCCGCGCCGTCCTGCTGGGCACTCCGCCCAGCACGGCAGGTTCCTGGGGCGCCGGGGTCACCAGTCCTCCTCTCTCCCTCCAGGTGTGGCCGGCGTGCTGGTGGGACACCCCTTTGACACGGTCAAGGTGAGTCTCTTGCCGTGGTCTGTCTCAGACCCCGGGGAGGGGCAGGCGTGGGGCAGAGGCCTGCAGGGTCCGGGGGGCCGGACGCTCCCTGCCGGAGTCCACCTCGGGGACACCTTCGAGGCCTTCTCGCAGGTTCTGGGATAAAGCAGAGTCCGGGTTCTCTGTGGCGCTCAGGCGGGCCGCTTACCCTCTGAGCCGAGTGGCCTTTCCTCCAGGCTCTGTCCCCACACTGCCCAGCGGCGGCTGAAGGTTGGGGTCCAGCTGAGGCCGGGGGACCTTTTTGCCCTCGCCCTTGCCCAGAGTGGGGACCCCCCCCCAGTGTTCTTGCAGAACTCCTCCTGACAGCTTCTTAAAGCAAAGCAAAGCTCGGCGGGAACATACACAAATGCGGAAAATCCAGCGTGTCGGCATGTGCCATGAACGTGACCTGCACCGAGCAGGGGTGGCCACAGCCCGGACACCGAGTGACCCCTTCCCGAGGGAGGGTGTGCTCACCTGTGGAGGAGTGGCTGCGGGTGGGGTGGGCACTGGTTCCCTCTTCCGAAAGCCCCGTACCCCCAGAAGCTGGCCAGTTCCTGGTTCTCAGGCGCCCGGAACAGAAACCGAGGAGACCCGCCGGGAAGTGCCCGCTAAGACCTTCCCTGTTTGGGGGGTTTTCTGTCCTCAAACCAGCCAAGTCCGGGCCCTACCTGCCTGCTCACGGGATGGGGGCGGCAGGCGGGGGAGGGCCAGGGTGGCCATAGTAACCAGCAGGGCAGGGAGCCAGACCTTTGTCCAGGGTGAGCGCTGACCTTGGCCTCCCTCCCACCGTGCGTGGGCCGAGTGCAGGCAAGCGCGGCGGCCCTGGCTGGGGCCGAGGTGGACTTCGTGTCTCCTCTTTTCTGGAACCCCGGTGCTCCTTGGCCAGGAAAAGGTCTGGGAGCTTCAGGCTGGTTTCTTCCAGCGGAAGAGGCATCAGGGCCTGGCCTTGCGTGTTGGCTCTGACCCGGACAAGGCCGGGCCCTGGGCCCGGGGCGGGGGCTGCACTGCCAGCCGATTGGCTCAGTGTCTCGGTCCTATCACTTGTGGTCCTGGCCCAAATGCTCTCCTCTGCATAGTGAGGGGCTGGCCGGTGCTCCCGGTGTAACTCACCCGGGATGACCTGCCAGTTCCGAGGGGCCCAGGTTTCCTTCCATCCCCCTGCAGGCGGATTTGGGGAGGAGGCCGGAGGGCCAGGCTCTCTGGCCACACAGAGCCCCAAGTCCCCTCCGGGCCGCGGAGGGTGAGGCTCTGGTGCTGCCTGTCTGCACAGCCGCCCTCGCTCTGCCAGCTGCGTCCCCTGAGACCTGCCCACTGCCCAGCGGGGGCTGCGTGCCGCTGAGTTTATACCTCCTGGTCACGTGCTGGGAAGGCCGCCGGGAGCTGCGGCCGGCCCGGAAGTGGCTTGGATTCGCCCCCAGTCCCGCTTTGCGGGGGCGTCTCTGAGCTGTGCCCCAGCCTGGGCCTGGCCCATCCTCGTCTGTCCCCACCGGGCCAGGAGCACCCGCCTGGTGCCTGGGCCCCTCGGAGCTCCCTGTGGCACTCGGGGTGCGGGGGCTTCTGCACCCACTGGGCGGCTGCCCTTGGAACCCCTCTCACCTCGCACCTGGAAAGAGGAAATCCATTCGTGACCTTTTGTTTCGTTACCGGCCCACCAGCGTCCCACCTGGACGGGCTGTCTCTGGTGATGAAGGGGGAGCCCGCCCCCAGGGCCAGCTGCTGTGACTGCCTCTGGGTCCCGTGCCTTGTGCCGGGTGAGGGCACGCTCCCTTGGTTCTGGTTAATGCTCTGATGGCTTTGTTTTTCCTTCTGGCTCTTCCCACTGTGAACGTTCAACGCTGTCCTCACCAGGAAACCGGGGCAGCGGAAGAGTGCACGGCGTGCGGCAGACAGGCCCGCGCTTGCCTCGGGGGCTGCGCCTTCAGAGCCCCCAGACCCCCAGCAACACGGGCCCTGTGGGCCAGGGCAGCTGGTGCTTGTTTTTTCAAAGATTATTTATTTATTTATTTCTAGAGAGGGAAGGGAGGGAGAAAGAGAGAGAGAGAAACATCAATGTGCGGTTGCTGGGGGCCGTGGCCTGCAACCCAGGCATGTGCCCTGACTGGGAATCGAACCTGAGACGCTTTGGTTCACAGCCTGCTCTCAACCCACTGAGCTACGCCAGCTAGGTGGCAGCTGGTGTTTTAACGTGTTTAATGCCACACACGCGTTTTTCGGTTAGCTTTCTGTTATAGAATACAAGTTTTAAAAAATTGTAACCATTACAGGGTCATATAAGCTAAAAAAAAACACAGTCCTTCAGACAGCCTTTTCCCCCCATGCATGATTTCTACTGGAAAACGGAAATGCACACAGGCCCACGTGTGTTCTTGCTTTTGCAAAAGTGGGAGCTCGTTTCCACTAGCTCCGCCGCTGGAGTGCAGGTTGAGAAATGGGCGTTCAGTGTGCAGGGAAGCGCACAGGTGCCAGGTGCCCGGCTCCAGGGGTTGCAGGGAGAAGAGGAGGGCGGGGCCAGCCCGGAAGCCCTTCCCCTCATCCACCTCACTCCCCAGGCCAGAGTCCATTCTGTTAAAAGTCGGTTTCCCTCTGGGGAGCCTAGAACCGCAGCCGCTGTCCTCAGCCACAGGACCTTCCCAGGAAGGCGGCCTGCTGTCCTCCCTCAGGTGCCGGGACCCTGATCAGTCCCAGCCCGCTTTCACCAGGGTGTGGCTCTCCCAGGGCAGGGAGGGGCTGGGAGGTGGGGGCTGGCCCTGGGCTCCGCTCACGTGGGATGTTGAAACTGGGTTGCCTAACCGAGCGGGAGGTGCCCCACCCCTGACAGAAACAGAAGTCCGTCATAGGTGAGCGGAAGCCCCAGCCCCCAGGTGAACCGCACGCTTCTCCTCTCCTCCCCGAACCAGACCCCGGGCCTGGACCCCCGCCCTGTCCCCCAGAGTCCCCTCCAGGCCCCGACAGGGGACAGGGGTGGCAGCGGGCACAGGCCCTGGGCGGTGGGCCTGGGCAGTGCTGGTCGAGGAAAATCAGCCCCCTCTGGATCAGGGGCTCTTCGTGTGGGGGTCTCCAAGCCGTGGGGGAGCTGGGAGGCTCCTGGGCTCGTGCACAAGTGGCCGCTTTTCCGGGGGCGGGGCCATGGATCCTCCCTGGGCCACTTTTCCCCCCAAACCCAGCCCCTCGGACAACAAGGGCTCGCCCCGGGCCCAGGGGTCAGAAACAGAGGGGAGAGGGGCCTCTGCGGTCTCCTGTGGGGCCCGAGCTGGCCGGGGCCGGGGCCTGGGCACGGGTGAGACTGCCCCACCCGCTCAGACTCCCTGGCCGGGGAGCTCAGTCAGTCTGAGCTCTGCCCCAGTGCACGGAGGCTGCGGGTTCGATCCCCGGTCGGGCGCACACAGGCAGCAGCCAGTAAAGCATGAATAAGTGGGACAGCAAGTCGGTCTCTCTCTCCTCTCTCCTTCCCTCTCACTCTATGAAAACCAGCACATTAAGAAGAAAAAAGACATTGCCAGCGCTAAAAACCGCGAGCCCAGGAGGGGACAGCTCTGCTTCACGCAGCCTCGGCTAACGCGGCCTCTCCGCGGTGGTGCCGGGAGCCAGGGGGAAGACGGGTGTCGCTCCGGAGACGCCAGAACTCGGAAGGGAGAAGGAAGCGCCCCTGAGCCTCCGTCTCCCTGTCTTTGAGAACACAGCCCCCGAACCCCCCCGGGGCCAGGGATTGGCGTGCCCGAGACCCCTGTCCCGCTGCCTGGCACGGGCCTGGGTCACACCGTGGTCCGGGTCACAGTGAGGGTGTCTGAGTGGGGGCGGGGAGAATGTGGCTTCGCCCAGCCCCCCACCCTACCCCTGTGACACAGATTCCAAGTTCAGGAGAGGTTCCCCCCGCTCCGCCCCTGGGGCTCGCTTAGCCAATCCAGAGACGCGCTATCAGGCAACAAAGACGACTTGCACGCCGTGGGGACCCTGGGCCTCGTCCCCAGGCCCCAGAGTTCCTGACGTGGTCCCCAAGGAGGCTGTCGGCTGCCTTCCTGTGACTTCACTAATGCACGACCTCTGTCTCCATGAGGCGCTGCTGGCAGAACCCGGCAGCAGCCCACGGTGTGGTGCTCCGGTGTCAGGAGCCCCCGTGGCATCGGCCATGGTTTGCCACCGAGACGGGGGGGGGGGGTCCCCAGAGATGCTCGTGCACCAGTCGGCACACTGCACAGACAGTGCAACAGGGGACCAGGAGTCCCACAGCGGGGCAGAGGTGCAGCGGCCACCAGAACCAGAAGGTGCCTTCACACCAGAAGACCAAGCAGGCAACTCCATCGAGTACAACAGGACTGACTGCGGGGGCAGCCGACGCCCAGGAAGACAGGGGTGGGGCGCAGCACCCCCTCCGCAGCTGCCCGGGGGCTTCTCCGCTGCCAGACCCAGCACAGCACAGTCCACCGTGCGGCTGGGCCCTGGGGACGCACCAGGCAGAGGGACCAGGAATGCGGTAGTGCCAGGGGCCGCGCACCTCCTCCCGGTCTTGTGACAGATGCCTGCCTGTAACTGACACTATCGCCAGCTCGATGTTTATCCAGGCTGTCATGCTGGTTTTGTCCAGCTGGTTTGGACAGAACTATTCATGGCCGCATTGTAAGGAACACAGATAGTCAATCATCGACCAGAAGGCCTTGAGGAGCTCACTGAGGACAGTGAGGAAGGTCAGAGGTCACAGCGTGGAACTTCAGTCTGGGACGTGGAGATGGAGCTGTTTGTCCGCATTCATGCCTGTCTGGGGTCTCGGGTGGCCCCGCCCCCTCTGGCGTCATCCAGTGGCTGTTGGCTCACCGATGCCCCTCCCTGAAGAGGCAGGGGTCCCTGGCCTCAGCCCGTCTTGGGATTCCAAAAGCCACAGGAGGCCAGCTACCTGGCCCCCTGCCCTGGGGTGCTGCGGGACCTGGGGGCTCTGGGTCCCACCGGCTGACCGTTCCCCGGGCCCTTTCCTTCAGGTGCGGCTTCAGGTCCAGAGCCTGGAGAAGCCACAGTACCGAGGGACCATCCACTGCTTCCGGTCCATCATCAAGCAGGAGAGCGTGAGTGGCGGGGGCCCAGGCGGTGGGGGGGCGTCGGGGGGGCGGGCGCCAGCTCCTTTCTGTCTGGCCCTCCTGAACACCTGGGGTGGGCTGGGGCTGCGGCCCCTGCAGCCAGACTCCCCAGGGAAGTCTGGGAAGTGGGCGGGGCTACCCAAGCCCCGCCCCCGAGCAGGAGGCGGGCGCCTGACTCCTCCTCCCTGCGCCCCCGCAGGTGCTGGGCCTGTACAAGGGCATGGGCTCCCCGCTCATGGGGCTCACCTTCATCAACGCGCTGGTGTTCGGCGTGCAGGGCAACACCCTGCGGGCCCTGGGCTGCGACTCGCCGCTGAACCAGTTCCTGGCGGGCGCGGCGGCGGGGACCATCCAGTGCGTCATCTGCTGCCCCATGGAGCTGGCCAAGACGCGGCTGCAGCTGCAGGACGCGGGCCCGGCCCGCACCTACCGGGGCTCCCTGGACTGCCTGGCGCAGATCTACCAGCAGGAGGGCCTGCGCGGCGTCAACCGCGGCATGGTGTCCACGCTGCTGCGCGAGACGCCCAGCTTCGGCGTCTACTTCCTCACCTACGACGTGGTGACGCGCGCCCTGGGCTGCGAGCCGGGCGACCGCCTGCTGGTGCCCAAGCTGCTGCTGGCGGGCGGCACGTCTGGCATCATGTCCTGGCTCTCCACCTACCCCATGGACGTGGTCAAGTCGCGGCTGCAGGCCGACGGGCTGCGGGGCGCCGCGCGCTACGAGGGCATCCTCGACTGCGTGCGCCAGAGCTACCAGGCCGAGGGCTGGCGCGTCTTCACGCGTGGGCTGACCTCAACGCTGCTGCGCGCCTTCCCCGTCAACGCCGCCACCTTCGCCACCGTCACTGTGGTGCTCACCTACGCGCGGGGCGAGGAGGCGGAGCCCGAGGGCGAGGCTGTGCCTGCTGCCTCCGCCGGGCCTGCGCTGGCCCAGCCCTCCAGCCTGTGACGCCGGACCCCCACGACGTGGGGAGTGACCCCCGGGGGCCCCTTGGCAGTGCCCAACACAGACATAAACTGGGCCCTCTCCCGCCCACCACCACCCTGCCCAGCGGCCCGGGCCCTCGGCTGGGCCACCTCAGCTGCGACCTCGATGGGTTCATTGTTCTCAGCTGCGCAGTGGGGGCCTCACATTGTTCTCAGCTGTGCAGGCCGGTCCTCACACCGCCCTGTGCAATCGGGAAGCTCAGAGCTGAAGCCTGCGTAGCTCCTGCACTTCCGCTCCAGGAGCCGGCGGCCTCGCCAGCCCCCCAGCCCTGGGCTGCCACCTGCCCACCACCACCACCACCACCACCACCACCACCACCACCACCACCACCGGCTCTCCGAGACCCACGGAGGGGAGGACCAGCGACTCACCCTGCACACCGCCCCCCCCCCACTCCAGCAGAGCTCCAGGGCACTCCGTGGCCACCTGCCTAGTCTCTGCGATGGGGACAGAGCCCTCCGCCACAGCACCCCAGCTTCTCGGTACAGCAGTGCTGGGACTACTCACCCCTGTCCCTGCCACTCGCATGGAGGGTGACCTGGGGTCCCAGCAAGAAGCCATGGGTTGCTGGAGGCTCCGTGTCCTCCTGGGGGTAGGGGTTGGGAGAAGGAAAGGCCAACGAGAGGAGATCTCAACATCGTAATACAGCCTCGGCCAAGGAAGTCTTCCCCTCTGAGCCTCAGGCCGCCCATCTGTAAAATGGGGGCACGGTCAGCTGGTTCTTGGACCTCTAGCCCCCTACCCCCGGCCAGGGCTTCCCCCCAAGGTGTGCAGAGAGGTCCGCGGGGCAATAGGACGCCCCCTCCCCAGCCAGTAATGTCTTTCCCAGGAGAGCTCCCCAGTGCCAGGGGTCCTATGAGGCGGCGAAGGGTCTGTCAGCGGGCCCAGACTCGGCCAGTCTGGGCAGAGAGGGCTCCTCTGCCCCAGCGTGGGGCTCGGGGTCTGGGCACTGTGACAGGCCCTCCCCAGGAGGCCGCTGGGGCCGGGGAAGACAGCACTCCCACCCTGGACACGGGGCGTCGTTGTACAGAACCCTCGAGGGAATAAATAGTCTGTTTTCTAAGAGGGTCCGGCTTCATCTGTGGGGGCTTCGCAGAAGGGGCTTCGTTGCACACGGTCCCTGCAGCCAGAGGGGCTGGCTCGGCGGCCTGCGTGTCCGCGGGCCCTGACAGCGGCCCCAGCTGTGTGACCCGGGGTGGGCCCTCGGTCTCCTCATCTGCACTGTGGGGCTGACGGGGTGTGTGCGGCGCGGACGTGCTGGGCGAGGCCTCGGCGCCCAGGACGGGCCCCTGGGGTGCCCGGTCCCCCCAGTGATGGGAGGCCCGGTCCCCGCCAGGGCAGGCAGCGTGTGCCGCGAGCTCCCTGGGAGGCCCCAGCTGTGGCAAGGGCAGCGAGAGGGGCGCCGGCCGAGTTCCGAGACGGCCTTGAGGAGGAGGAGGGTGAACGGGCGTGTCCCTGGGAGCTTAGACCTGACCGGGCACAGGAGGTCGGTCCCTGAGGGCTTCCTGGAGGGGGCCCTTTCCTTCCCACCTACCCTGCCAAGAAAGCTCTGCCCACCTGTGGGGTGGGGCAGGTGAGAGGGCCCCCGGCTCTCCCTCTGGGAGGGGAGCCGGCTGTCCTGCGCCTTTCTGCCCCGCGAGGTCCCAGCACCAGCCGTGACGCGGGGCTTGTCTGCAGCTTCGGGGGCCAGGAGGCCCGGGAGGCGCCGGGGGTGACCCCTGGGGGAGTGGTCCTCCTTAACCCAGCCGTCCCCTCCCTCGAGTCCCAGACAGCAGCTCCTCCTCCCCCCGCCGAGGCCTCTGGCCCGTCACTTCTCTTCCCCCCGAAAACGAAAACGCAGGCCAAGGCTCCAAACCAGGGTCCCCCACTCCCGCCCCCAAAGCTGGTGGTTAACCATTATTACCAACAGGTTGAGCAGGAGGGAGGGACGGGAGGGGTGTGGGGCTTCTATCCATTTATCTTCCCCGATTTAAACTTACTCTATTTGGGATAAATGTTAACGTGGTCAGGAAACAAAAACGCAAACAAAACCCAGGCTGCACAGTGAAAGGGAAAGCCCGGGCCCGCCGCCTCCTCCTCCTCCTCCTCCTCCTCCTCCTCCTCGGCCAGCCTGCCCCTCCCCGGAGCCCAGGCCGGTCTCCAGGTCCTGGCGCCCGTCCCACCCAGCACATCCCGGGCGGGTCCCGGTGCGTGGGAACTAGCCCACTCCCTGCAGAGTGTGGCCAAGTTTTTTTTCCCTTGATGATTATCTCGGAGCCGAGGGCTGCGGACCACAGGCGTTTCTTCTCCGGCAGGCCTGGAAGGTCAGAGTCCGGATTCCGTGTCCCAGGGTCGCTCTGGGGGTGCTGAGGGAAGGCGACCTTTGCTCGCCCCTTCCCGCACCTGGTGGCCTGGAGGCGTTCGCTCACTCCTGCCTGCGCCCTCCCACGGCCTCTACCCTGCACATCTCGCCCCCGAGGACGCCAGCTTAAGGGGCCATGCTGTTCCAGTGTGGTCTCATCTTAGCTCGTTACCTCTGCGAGGACCTGGCCCAAACACGGGTACAAGTCACTCACAGGTTCCGGGGGACATTGGCAGACCCTCCTAGGTGCCTAGGGGTCTTCCTGCCTTTTCTCATAGAACCCCAGTGGGCTCTGGGCTTCTGTGTGTCCAGATAAAAACACTTTCCCTGACTCCTTTGCAGCTAGAGGTGACCACGGGTCCCAGCGCTGGGCAGGGACATGAGAGAAGTCAGCGGCTGGGGCTTGAAAAAGCTTTGTAAACAGGACACACACGCCCTTCCCTGGTGGCGTGGGGACAGGGTGCCTGCAGGCGCAGCAGCAGCAGTGTCAGCGCCGGCCTGTGGCCCGGCAGGGCCGCGGAACCGGCTGGGTCCGCGGAAGACCAGCCACTGCCCCACTGTTTCACGCACTGTCCCTCGCCGCCTCTGTCACCTGCAGCCAACTGCCTCGTGGCCGAGGCGGGGTGCTGGCAGGTTTCACCCAGAGGGGGGACCACAGGAGGCTCTGAGGCGAGCGGGCTCCTTGGGACAAGAGGAGGCCGGCCGAGGAGGCTGCCAAGCCAAAGGGCATCTCAAGGCCAGAAAGGGACAGCTGCCCCGGCAGGCGGAGGGGCCACTCTGGGCAATGAATGGCGACAGATGAAGCCCCTGTGGCAGTTTGAGGTCAGGGGGTCAGGGCAGGGCAGGGCACCAGCTGGTACCCTGCCCACCCCCTCTGGTGCGGACCCTGGACCAAACGCTGCGACGTCTTCCCTTTCCTGTTTATCCCCGCGGGCCTCAGCACACAGAGTGAGTGACGCATGGCCCTCCGTGGGGCAGTCCCCTCGCTGGCCGGGGCCCGGCCTGCTTCTGCTCATCGTGCAGTCGTTTCTCCTGGCCGAAAGCTTTGGGTCCCACACTGGGGGCCCCCCACACCCACTCGGGCATCAGTTCTGCCCATTGGGCTTCCCAACCCCCCTGGACGCCCAGGGGCGGGTTTCAGACCCCGCTCTGCAGGCGGAGGAGCCCGCCGCACCGTGCGAGCTTTGGAAGGCGCTCCAGGGATGGGACCGTGTGTGCGCTGCAGACATGGCCGCCACCTTCCCAGGCACCCTCCCCACCCAGCCGCGTCACCCTGCGTGGGGCACCGCTGCCTGTCCCAGCCGACACTGCCTCCCCTGTGGGGGGCACCCAGGGTCCTGAACCTGTCCAGGGTGTCTGTCTCTGCAGCCACAGGAACGTGGTCATCAGCCAGCCCCAGCCGATGGTGGCAGTTGGGGAACTCCTGCCGCAGCAGGGTGGAGGGTGGCCTTCTGATGCACGGCCAGGCCTGGGGAAGGGGCTCGGCCCCAGCACCAACTGTGTGACCCTGGACCGGGTCCACCCCACTGGTGTCCTCCCAGAGGTGGGAGGCCACCGTGATGCCCCCTTCTGCCTTAAATGTTCCCAGTGGATGGCGGGGACATTCCCTGCAGTGGGGACACAGGATGGGAAGCAGGAGGGTGGGGGCAGGCTGGGCCAGGGGGCGTGTGTGCAGTGTTTGATGGAAGGAGACACGAATGGACAGCCGAGGGCAGAGGCTGTGGCGCCCAGGGCCAGCTCCAGTGTCACCGGAGAGCGACAAGGGAAGGCAAGAACGCGGCGGGGAGTGAAGCCAGGACCCGGGGCTGGCGGGGCCGGATGGTGACAGGGGACTGGCCGAGGATGCCAGGCTGGCAGTGAGAGCAGGACCCCAGGATGGAGACCGAGGGCTGCAGAAGGTGTCGGGGGGCACAAGGTCTGGGGCCACCGGGGCAGCGGCCAGAGCAGGGTTTCAGGAAGACCAGGCCGCAGGTGGCCCGTCCTCCAGCCCCGATGCCAAGGCCACTGGAGGAGGTGGGTGGGGAGTGAGGGACCAGCATCAGCATGAACGCGGTGAGCCGACCGCCTGCGGCAGAGTGGGCTTGGGGTGGGGGCGGTAAGAGGTGGGGGTGGACGTGGGCTGCGGAAGAGGCGCCCCCACCCCTCCCTGCGGCATGAAGACAAGAGTCAACACCAGCTCCCGACTCCATCCCGGACAGGAGAGTGGGCAGGCCAGCCCTCCCCTGGTCCGGGGGCGCACCGGGAGCCCCCCCAAACCCAGGCCTTGCGCAGGCGGCCCTTTCTGCAAGGGCTGAACCATGCGTGCGGCTCCCGCCCCCCGTCTCCCGGGGCCCGCCCTCTGCCAGCTTCGGAGGAAAATAAAACTCCCGACTGGCCCGAGGTCACTGCCCTTCCCTGCGGCCCAAACCCGAGGCCTTTCCAACCTGACTGGCCTCCCCGCGTGTCCCCTCCCACCACACGTGTCCACGTCCCCTCGGCACGCCCAGGGCTAGCAGCTGGAGGCCCCGCAAGTGCCGGAGGTCGAATGAAAGACACCCTCCCTCGCCCTTGCGGGTCCCCAGGCCGAGCCGAGAGTGTGAGCGGCGAGGACCGGTGACTGCAGACTCCAAGGTGCGGCTCCCCCACCGCCCCGGGCTCCGGAGACCGCCGGGCGCCGGCCCGAGACGCGTCCTGGCCGCCGCGCATGCGCAGACCCCGCCGCACAGCGCCCCCGGGTGGCGGGAGGCGGCAGCGCTCCCGCGGGTGCCACTGGGGTCGGGGGGTGGCAGCTCAAGGCAAGGGTGGACGACAGGCGCCCTACCACCAGGGGCTGGTGCCCGCGGCTGGGACACGTGGCAGGAGAGAGGGAGCCTGAGCCAGAGCTTCTACCCAGTGCACTGCCCCCGCCCACCGCGGCCACAGTGCTTACCCGGCTTCTCGTCCCTTGTCTTCCTTGTCTTCCCGTGTCTCCTCCGCTCGACACGTCATGCGACCTCCCTTAGCACCTCTGCGGCCTGAACCACGGGTGCTCTCGGGGTGCGAGGCCCTGGGGGCTCGAGGGGAGCAGGGCTCCAGAGGTGAAGGGCTGCGAGGGCCAGGCGGGGAGAGGTCGAGCTGGGGCCCGGCTTCGTAGAACGTGGGGAGCCCACGCTGGGAGGCATTAAGGGGGTGTTAGTGGTGGGGTCCACAGGGCCGCTCTGCAACCAGGGGCCGGGGCTTCGCTCACAGGGGTTAGAGGCGAGTTCAGGCAGCGGCGCCGTGGCCGCGGAGGAGCAGCGGGGGCCGGCTAGGCCTGCGGTCGGGCCTTCGCCGAGGGCACTCCTCCGCAGCATGGGGCAAGGAAACCGCGTCTCTCCACGGGTGGTTTGGAGAGGAGGGCGAGGACCATCCACTCTGCCTGGTCCTGGGCAGAGTGAGGACCCCCACACATGTTACAGCGAGGTGGAGATGCTGGCAAGTGCTAAACAGGGGAAACAGGGACAGTGGGAGCCAGCAGGTTACTTGAAGGGAGCGTTCCTGGCTGATGAGATCGGGTTGGGCACTTCCAGGCCTGGGCCCCAGGGACCTGTGTCCGGCGCAGGCGGCCTGAGCAGGCGGGGGCCTGCAGCCAGGAGCTCTGGGCGGGGAGGCTCGGGGGGAGAGGCCGCTGGGAGGCTTGAGGAACAAACCACTACCACAGGCATTAAAAAGCTTAACAACATTATGCGTTTATTATATTTTATAGAACCATGTTACACATGCTT